ACAACAACTAGAACTGCTCATCCATTACATTTCAATTTCTATTATGGAAAGATGAAGAGAATTTGCCAGATTCCATCGGACAATTCCCATTGCCAAGGCTGAGAAAGAAGCGCTCAAGGACCTAACTTGCCCTTGAACTGGTGTTTACCGAATTGAAGCATCGCTGCTTACCATAAGACTGGGGAATGGGAATCAAAACTCTTGGGGTCCTTTATTTTCTCTGTCATTCTTGATTATGGACTTACTGACTTTTCTCATGTAATACAGAAAATATATCAAGTGGGTTCTGTTTGACATTTTCCCTAATTTACCTGCCACTGTGATTTTAAAGAACTTAAAATATTTCTTTAGTTTGCTGCAGATGCACAGACCTTGAGCAAATTACTTTGATTCCCGTACCACGGCTCCCCAACTCTAACACTGCCTTACTTCACAAGTAGATTTTTTTTGGTCTTTATCACAAATATTAGGGAATATGCAGATACTAGGAGCCCTAAGAGCCATGGGAAGGAAATGGCTGCTGTCTTGTTCCTCCAGGACACATCTTGATTATGTTAGTGGACCATAGCTGGGCAGGGGTTCCTATTGACCCCTCTTGGAGTGAAACATGTCAGTAGGATTTAGAGTCAGATCATGGTTTTGACATGGAAGGTTGCTGATGTGGAAATGGTTGCTGAGCTGACAGTATTCAAGGAATGGTTCTGTTCTTCCAGCTCCTGTGGGCTTTGCTGCCAGCTTTTCTGTCCAAACAGGAAAGGTCCTGGCTTCTGAATTATTTTTTGGAACAGTACTAATTGTACAAATAAAGGAGGATGAGATCCTCCAGTTCCAGTGTCAAGTTATTTACACAAAAGTGCTCCTGTTAGAGCAACTTAGCCAGATCATGAGCTCTTTGTTGTTTGTGTTGGGCATATAGGGTTCACAAGCCAAGGAGATAAGAAATTGTAACATTTGGACTCTGCTGTCAGCTCTGAAGTGCTCTTCCAGCCTCTGGGCAGCACAGGGTGCCCTCCACACTTAACCAGCTTAGGCACTAGAAGAAGGAACCATCTAGTACAACTTTAGCAGCCTTGAGGCTACCCTAAATTATACTGGGAGCATCTGGTGCCTCTCTGTTTCAGGCTTTAAGTTCATGACTTTCTTGTTCTTCTGAACCTCCTGATTCAGAGCTCAAGAAGGTTTGGATAAAGCCATTTTTGTTTTTCCTGCTTGTGCCTCAGTCTTTAATAGGCAGTGTTGGCGTCATGTATGAAGAGTGAGAGGGAGCTCTCTTTGAATCAGCTCTCACTGGTAAATGACACTATAAACTCGAGGTTGTTCTTGACCTTCCAACCCTTGTGAAAGTGATTTCAGAGTTTATGAGGATTTAGAGCTCAAGCAAACCAATGTGACTACTACCAGAAGAAAACAATACTTAAATCAAGCATAATATTTTTTCTGAAAACTAGACAGCATGCATTGACAAGTGAGGATTTTAAATGGGAATGTTTCCTCACTTCCCTCCATGTCAGGTTGCTGTTCAGCTGTCCACATCAAATGATGATATGCACAAATACTGAAAGGGGAAGAGAACTGGGGTTTTTCCTTTTGGAAAGGCTATCTATTAAATTCTTTAAACTGTTGAGTTGAAAAACAAAATATATATTTTAAATACTTATATATCAATATGGGCCCTGCTCCCACCCCACTCTTTTCAGCTGAAGCTGAATCTTGGAACTGCACAAAAGGGTCCACAACCAAAATTGTAGATCAAATATCGTTACAATTGAAATGTGATGTTGGCAGAGACAAGACAGAACTAATTTAATTTTTCCTGTCAGTCTCTGTAGTAGATCAATTAAACTGCCAAGTGGATCAAATATTTCAGACTGTATTTATTACATTAAGTATTTATGTTCAGGCTGAGCATTTAAAGTATGATCTCATATAGGAATACAAGGAGGTTGAGATCAATTCAGCAGAATTTGCTGTAAGTTAATGGAAATCTAATTGTGTATTTTAATTTTGTGTACAGGAGGCAGTAAGTTCCTGAAAGAAAGAAAACGGTACCCTGCCCGTATTGTAGCAACTTGATCCAAATCCCACTAAAGTAATAGCAGACTGTCATAGATGTTATTGGAAGCTGGATCAAGATCTAGGGCTAACGGCTTAACCCTCACTGATTTTGATGGTAGCTAGGTGCCTAAACTCCTCTGAGGATTCAAAATAAGTAGGAAAGATTCCTTCCTTCCCCACTGTGGACTCGGGGTTACCGCAATAAGATGTAAAAAAACCACTGATGTCTGCTATATGTGGATGCCTCTTTCTTGGTGAAAGTCAGATCCCTGTCCATTGTAGGCTGACTGACGGGCAGGTGGAGACCTTGAGCTCCTGATTCTCCCATTGTTCGTCTTGGTTTTTGTGCCGGCAAAGTCTGACAGGTTTCACTGGACTTACTACCCACAGACACAGGCAATTGTAAAGTAGATTCAACCTTCCTTTTACATTAAAAAGAAATAGGGCTAAATCCTACTCTCCTGTATTCTAGCTGGACCCTGGAGCAAATGGCATTTGTTACTTTACATTTTTTTCAGATGTGAGCTGTTTGCAAGTGTTTTAACCTCAATGAAAATGAAAGGAATGGTTTATGGGTGAATGATTGCTAGAGATAGCCTAGTTTCCACCACAGGTAACTCTGCACCCACAGGTTGCAGAGCCACTGGGTAGTATCAGGTCTAATTATTAAGCAAAGAGCTTAGATTGGTACTGAAGACTGATAAATATTTTATCCCTCTCTAACAATGGAATGAAAATTATTCTTAGGGGATGGAGCCGATTCCTGCTTTTCTGAAAAGCAGAAGACTCTTTTCCACTTCTCCCCACCTCTCACTGAGCAGACAATGTCTGTGCTCCGTCCTGTGTTAGGTACTGCAGACGGGCAAGCCCTCAGCCTGGGAGCTGAACAGCCACGTTTGAAAATCTCACTCAGTTTGTGTTAGAAAGCAGCAGTGTAAAGACAGCTGATGCACAGGCAGGCCTCCATGCTCCCCCATTTCAGAGCTGAACCTTAAGGTAGTGGGGCTAATGGTACTGAAAAAACAGACTTCTGTATGGCTTCTGCAGCTAAAGACCTGCTGCAGACTGTAGGGACTCTGAAGTGCTGATCTTCCTCTCCTCCCTCTTGTTGAAACTGTGGCCATCCAGCACCCCTGAAGTGTCTGCAATTCAACAGGGCAAAAAATTACTTTATGACCGTGGCTGGTGGTGGCAAAAACTGTAAGTTGTGTTACTGAGTGAATTTTGTTATAAACCTTCTTCTGACCCGCTCAAAGCAGCCACAGAATTCAAGATTGAGCTTCCTAGTGCTAAAAGCAAAAAAGTGAGTGTTTTAGTCAAGTGCTGAAACTTGCTTGTGCAATTCATTTGAATCCCTGGACCCATGGAAATGTTGGTCTGATGATCATATGCTTTATCAGAGCAGTATTACAAGAGAAAAGACGACTTTCCAGTTACATTAATAACTTGTCCCTTGTAGGTTGTGTTTTTTAAAATGTAAAGAGTATTTTTTCCTGAACGTTACCTGCAAGCTGCTGATCTCTGACAGTTGCTGTGGAGAAGTCTTGCCAACATCCTAAAAACAAACAACTGTCTGCCTTTATCCCTAGCAGATGGGTGCTGACCCGTTGCTACCGAGAGCAGAAGTGTAAAAGAAAGACTACCTGCTCCCTGCAGGTTATTAGTTCCATCACTTAGTCATGAGCCATTTAACTCAAATATTAACTGCAGAAATTAAAGCAAGTCCTTGGCTTGGAAAGATCAGAGGAAGACATTGCACCATGTTAGAATGTGCGCGGCTGAGCTGTTTCTTGTTGGGAGGTAGCGTATCAGCAAAGGACAGGCTTTTGCCAGGGGTGCTGAAGAGGATGTGGAGTTTGTGTGGCCTCTGAGACCCCTGGAAAAACGGTGTAACTCAATGTTTCTCACCAGAGAGAAAATTAAAGTAGTAACTCGGCCATCTCACCCTGTCTCCTATCCTTACTCCTCTGACAGATTCTCCTTCATTCAATAGATACATCTAAGCTAGGTACCAGGGTAGCTTTTTGGAGGGACTGCATGTCCTGCCCAGTGATCAACCTATACTTCCAGGTGTGCTTCTTCGGGAACTGGCCCAAGTCCCAGCATTATCAAAGGACAGCCCATGTGTCTCAGATGACATGGTAGAGATGGTCTGGCCCGTCTCTCCTGATGGGACTCTTAAGCCATGTTGGCAGCAGCAGCTTTAGGTGGCCTTGGGTCACTTCTGGAGGCCGTTCTCTTTGAGGTGTCATCCTTAAGCAGCGCAGACATTGGGTGGGTGAAGGTAAACAGACTCCCATGGGTAAACATGATGCCAATAGTTGGCAGGGGCCTGGCCAAGGAAAAGCCTATTTCATCCTACAGTGAGATAGGAGAAGGTCATTACTTCCTGCATAATAACCAGGATATTTTCACCTTTCTCTCTGCAGTAATCTTTCAGGTGTAGATAAGTGATGGGACCCCCACACTCACCTACCAAATGCAGCTGCCTAAATTGATCAGGCTTCAGTGTCCAAGTGGAGGGCAGGGGACACTTCCAGCATGGAGCTGATGGTAGCCACAGAGCAGCAGCTTGGTATGAGAACTGGGGACAAGCTCAGCCTCTCTTATGGGGAAATCTCATGTGTGATCTAAACTTCACTGCTTGCTTCTGAGTCTTCACTGCTTGCTTCTGAGTCTGCTTGCCCTCACTCACTCTGTCACCCTGGATGACTCACAGTGTTAAGATCCTTCATAGTGGGCCTCAGCAGAACAGGATCTGGCTTTTCTAGCCCTGATCCAGAGAACATCTATGTACCCACTAAAGGTCACTAGGGGAGGGTGTTGTTGTCATTCAAGACCCCAACCCCATATCTGCTCTCTCCAGATTGACCATGGAGGGAACAGTCAGACAGTGCCCATGACCTTCCTCATCAGTGATGGTGCTTTGTCTCCTTCCTTCCCAGGGAGCCCCCTGTGCTCGTGCTGTGTTCCAGACCCCATGGGCCTCTCCTTCCTGCCCACCTACGGCTGCCAAAGCAACCGCACCGCCAGCGTGGCTGCACTGCGCATGAAGGCCCGGGAGCACTCGGAGGCTGTGCTCCAGTCTGCCAACCTCCTGCCTGCCGCCAGCAGCAGCCCCACTCCTCCTGCCAAACCCGGCCCTGAGGGCAGCCAGGACAAGCAGCCCTCTCCAGCCAAGGAGCACATGGAAGGAGAGAAGAGTGTATGAGGCCGGACTGGCGCCGACCTCTTGGCTCAGGGCAGGGACCCACCGCGGGGTGAACTGCAGTGTGGCCGTGCCTCGGCAGGACGTCACGGGGCCAGCAGGGACCCAGCAAATCTGAGTGGCCTCTTCAGCTGCCTTTCATGCACCCTTGCTTTTCTTGCGCCGCTGTAAGTTCATTTCCCTGATTTATCGGCACTATCTGTGTTTGGAAATGTTCGTGAAACTGTTTTTAGCCCCCCCGCCACATCCCAGGGGCACCGAAATGCCCAGGATCCTGGCATGCTCCTGCACATCTCAGCTCCCCATCCTGTGTGAGATGGAGGGCTGGCAGAAGGGCAGCGCTTCCAGACGCGACGTCCAGGGCAGGAGAGGCATCCAGGCATCATTTACCCCACCGTGCACAACAGAGGTAAAGGAATATGCAGGTATATACCAGTCTGGCTTGCTGTTTTCTGATGGCATTTGACTTTAACCAAATCTATCCCAGGCAAGCCAGGTGTAAGAGAAGCAGAAAATAGAACAAAACTCTTCATATTTTTTTCCTTCTCCCTTCTTTTCCCAAAAAGTGAAACTTTCCATGGAGTAGATTACTGGGAAATTGCTGAGATCAGTTTACCTGTGAATAAAATCCTTGCACTAGTCTCTATGTGATCATTAGTCTGTTACTCTTGCCATTCCCTGCGTTAGACATAAAAGACACATGACTCCAGAGCAGCATTCATAGCTTCAAACAGGAATGCTGGTATTTAACGGAGAGTGCAGATGTGTCTAGATCTGCACAAAGCTGGGGGTATGTTAGCATCACTCTCTTGGAAAGAAAGACTGGGAAACAAAATAATCCTGCATTGCAACACTGCAAATATGTCCTTGCATGTTTTGTTTTTAATAAAGAAGAAATGAAGCTTGGAAGGATATTTCTTTATGCCAGCCAAAATCAGACTATTCCATTCACTGAAGGCTTGTTGTAATGAATCTAGAGATGAAAATGTCTTAATTATTACAGAGTGGGCACAGTGCAAAGGAGAAATTGATGCCTCAGGAAATATAGTCTTATCTCTGACCCAAAACTCCCTAAAGAAAAGCAGACTGAGATTTGATGCTCTAGAGCAGGCATTTTAATCTGGGGTGCCCCACATTTTTGCCATGGGAAATGCAGATGCAGAGTTAAACTTAGTGACATGGACTTGCTTTTCTCAGGTGCCTTTTGCAGCCTCCTTAGGCTTGTCCACAGATGTCCCTGGAGAACAAGGTGAAACCACTGCTCTGAGACTTGACCAAGTAATGTGGAGGCTAGTGGAAGGATTCCTGTCAGCTCTGATCCTGCGCATTGTGCTGAGGGCCTCCTGCAATGCGTTGAGCACACACTTTTACACTGGGTTGTGTTTGGCTTTTTACTGGATTTGAGCTTGGGGATGTGCTTGGAAAGGCAGTCCCAAGTAAGGCTGGCAGTAAAAATTTCTCTTCCTTACCCAAGTGATCTCAGCCCACAAATTTCACAGAACCTGAGACTTCTTTGGTGCTGGCAAGACCCTCCCATAGCCCCTGGTGCACACCTTCCTTTTCCTGAGGACAGGCTTGGCATCAGCACCCATTCAAAGGGTGGAAGCCCTGGTCTTCAGGGGTTGGCTTGGCAACACTAAGCACCTTCTTTGCTCTAGGAGTGAAGGGTGCTGGGCATTCCCCCAGGGTGGGGTTTGTGTCTTCTGGACACAAGTCATTGGGGAGGGCAGTGCTGGGTCTGTCCGTGGATCCAAGTACAAAGAAAAGTCAGACAGGGCCCACGTTCATCAAATGGAGTCATTTTGCTCTACTTTTGCCACACCATGTGTTTCTTTTGGCAATCCCGAACTGTCCTAACTGCTGGGGGAACATGCAGTAGTCTGTGGTCCATCTTTGTGCTCCAGCTTCAGGAGCTGCTCTGCTGAACTGTAGGTGGAGGGGGCTTCCCTGGCTGCAAATTATGGCTTGGTTTAAACAACAGCAACAACCCTTTTCTTCCACCAGAATAAAGTAGGTCGCTGTGTGCTTTGTTGTGGGGAGCAGCTGGAGAAGAGAGAATCACTGTTTTCTTAGTGATCTTCCCAATCATAATTTTTTTGTGGACCCTCCCTGAAAAAAAGACTAAAAAAATATTCCAGTCCAAAGAGGCAGGCCCAACTTCATTTCAACATAATTACCTTGCATTCAGTTGAACTTCAGCCCTTCTGTACACTAACTCTTCAATCTAATAGTTTGATTAAACTCGTATTTCCTCCAGAAAGGTACATAAATAAGTGAATTGTTGAGCAAATTAAGAATACTTAACAGCATTGCATCTGAAAAGTAGTTACGCTGATTAAATTTTCTGTCCTTGAGGATTTTCAGGAAATTACTTTTGATCGTCAATAACACAATTAAGTAAACTACACGCACATTAGCATGAATAATTGATAAGAAATTATGTATTACCACGAAGCACTGATTTAATAATTCATGATGCGACACTCTAGTGACTGTGCAAAACTGGATAACATCGACAAGTCTGCCTGATGTTGCTGGAAATGCTGCAATTACAAACAAGTCCATAGTTTTGTTGTACAATAAAGAAAAGTATCCGATGCATGCTGTAGTTTCTGTTTGTTTAATACTTGAATAAATTTAGAAAGAAGACCCTAAGAAGTTCCTGTACTGTTTTCATTCAGATCAATTTCTCTGTCCAAGCACCTGCTGTCATGTTGATGACCGTCCAGTTCCGCTTTGACCACAAAGATGCTGCAGCGTTGGAGAGGCTCTCAGATTCACAGCTAGAACCTGCTGGATGTCTCACAACTTGCAAAATTGGGGGGAGGGGATCAATGTTTTGCAGAGCCTCCTGTTAGGAGCAAAGTGGCATTAGTGCCCCAGAAGCTTAAGCCCAAAGTCTTTTAGATTCTTTGATGTCTGGTGTGTCTCTGATTATAATTATTCAATATGATTTTCTGGGTGGTTGCTCTAGAAGTCAGCCATAAATGAAGCGTTTGGATTGGTATGTTTTGAGTCTGTGCAACGCCATGTTAAATCCTAGGCCAATTCACCAACAATTCTCACAACGTCCCTAGGGGAGGCAGATACATATTTGCATTTTCATGAGCATGTTGTGGAAACCAGGGCATGGTGAGCCACGTTTTCCTCTCAAGTTTTGGTCTGAGACGTGTCTGGTCAGGGCAGTGCAGCCCAAGAGAACATGCTCGAGGTCACTGAGCAGCAGCACAAGGGCAAGAGCAAAACTCAAGAGATCTGTGTCTCAGTTGTGCCTGCTTCTAGCCACCAGACCCTGCTCCCTTCCAGATAGACTGCCTACAGCGGATGAGCCACCTACCTTCTTTCTGTGCTCTCATATATCAGGGCCATGCCACTTAAACCACTCCTGTAATGGCCATCTCAGTAGCTCTGATTAAGTCTGGCATTTAAAAGTTTATAACTCGGCTATAAAAAGTCACTCAGGCTGAACCCCAGTGTGAGAGGCCCAAGCCCAAGGGGATGATTTATATGCGAGCTATTCCAAAATCAGCCTGTGTGATATTTTTTCAATTCTGTGAAGGAAAAATGGAAGTCCAAGGTTTGAGGGACAGATATAAGACAAAAATGTTTTGTTTAATGGCTTACTGCATTGTCACTAGATCCCATGCAGTAATTCTCTGTGAATTTCCATGCTCGCATGAGCCAGGCGTAGCATGAATGGCCTCTGTGAAAATGTCACTTGCATGATTTTCATAAAGCATCTCCAGTCCTGGACTCTTTTCTCAAGAAATCACAGCCAGCCACAATGCCAAGATTTCCCCTCATCCCCCACCTTCCCTGCACGGGCCATCTCCCAACATCCTTACTCACCGCTCTGCAGAAAGACTGTGGTCCTGCCTCCAGCTCTGGTGCTGACTCTCAGCTTGTGCCATCCCCATGCCACAGTTCTCCGACCCTGTGCAGAGCCATCTGGGAGAATCGGTGCTCAGGGCTTGTGTGCAGGGTTATTGCAGTGCATTGGTCTGCGTTTTGTTAATGGGTGTTGATACAAAACACCAGGCCGTGGGACCTTCTTTATCAGGTTGCTTGCCATCCTCTCAGCCCTCCATGCTTTTTATCTCTTGTACTTCTATTTAGGCCTCCTTATGCCTACACACATAGCAGGAAATGCGAAGCAGAGAATGCACCTTTGCTCAGTTACGCCGTAGGCTAGTCCTTCCTACACTGCATGCTGGATAGTAATGAGATTGTTAGGCTAATTGGCTCTTTATTAAGAGTATTATTTACAATGATGCTGAAGGCCATATGCATGCAGAAAAAGATCTTGGTATACTGTTAAACTCTTCCTTCTTGCAGTCGGTGCCCTCCCCACTGTGTTCCCCGCAGGTTGCTGCCCTTGGCAAGTTTGGGTTGACCTTCTCTGCACCTCCTAGACTACCACCCATCCCGTGTCAGGGCCAGGCAGAAAAGCCTGCTGGTAGGGCTGTGTCTCTGGGAAGTTTGCACTTCTGCTGCGCGTTTAAGCTTGCTGCTTCCCTGCAGCAGAAAGAAGTCAGCGCCGTGTGGGAGGAAGTTGTTTGCTGCCGGGCGGCCCACAAGGGAACAGGGGATGGAGATGAAATGCTTGTGGTGCACTGCTGTGGCACATTCTCCCTCTAAAAGAGCAGTAATTCGATAAAGATCCTGTTGTGCCTGGCTGTTTGTGCGGTGGAAGAAATGTGTGAAGCAGGGGAAGTGAGAAGCCCTGAATTGATACCCAAGCTCCAAGTACATAATTCAGACCTCTCCACTGAAGAGTTTGACACCCCTGCCATAAATAAAAGAGCAGTAGAGTACAATAAACAATGCTTTATTCTTTCAAGTTAAAAACTTCCTTTGCGCTGTAGTAAAATATTGACTTCAGGTGACCATATTACCGCAAAATATGGTCTTTTCCTGACACCAACCAAAGAAGCCTTTACATAGATCTGGCCCATGAGAATGAGAATTTCATTGGTATATAGCAAATCCAGCCTTATTTGATA